TTACCATGAAATTACTACCATTTGTGTAAACATGTAACGTTACATAACTTCTAAAAATCAATAACTCATGGTTAAATGATATTCACCATTAGTTGCTTGGCTTCACAGTTTCAGCTGACTGGTTCATCTGAAGGCATGTGGTCATAAATGCTCCTTATTTGGTTTCCTGTTCTGTTACTTTGTGTTACCTGCGTAAAATCTCTGAAAGCTGATTACTTCATAAATCTAAGTTTGTTGAAACAAAACCTTGAAATACGCTTTGTGTTGAAAGACCTACGATACAACCAATCGACAGGAAACCCTAGAACTTGGCATCATGCTTCCTGGTATTCATCAACAAGGCGCATCTACAACCTGGACGAAACTCATATCCTGTCTGAGATGTGGACCCGCGTCACACAGCTCTGCAGTCAAAACCGTTGCCACTGAGTTATTCAGGCAGCGACTGACCTCCTTTAGGATTGGTTAGATACATGGATTGGTTACTGCAGGGCAACCAACTTCATGTTGCCTAGTCCTGAGTGTTGACCGGATTCCATCGATCATTTTTTCAGTACCACCACCAAGCTAGGAGAGTCACTACGCCGATACAGTGGGATAGGTGTTAGTTGAATGGGAGTATTCGACAGGTACCCCTGGACCTAGGTTCCACTTCCTCCAGCACTTAGAACTAGACTACATGAAGTTGGTTACCCTCTCATGACCAATCCACACATATGATATTCTCTTTCGAAATCGCAAACTTGTATTTGGTTTAATCATAATATTATCGAATTAGTTAATAGCTGGTATCTATGTCCGAAAAGATAATGTCTTACTTTCATACATAAAGGCACTAAAGGATGAAATGGTGTGTGACTTTCAATCATCTACACTTCTCTTTAACTTAATTTCAACACTTGGAATGAAGGGAATTTATTCAGTGTATAACAATAATCTTATTTAACAGGCGTGATTATAAATACACAATTTAGACATTTTAATTCTCTCCTGAGATCTTTCAAAACAGGTGATCATTTCGGCTACCATGTACTCACATAAGTTTCGTTATATTTGTACACAGCTGTACAATGTATTTTGTTTCAGGGGGGAAAAATAGTGTATATGGAAAAAAATTTCTAAGAAATAAATCAATAAAAACTTTACTAACTTTGCATAACACCTAACAGTAGCAAAATTTATTCTAATTCTAAAAAGATTGTAAATTTCTGTAGACTTACAATTATTCTGCTACTACTACTTAAATCGTGTTGATAAGATGCTTGTCATACATAATGCATAAAAATCTACTTGCTCTGTTTGTATTCTTAAAAAGAGATTCAATAATAACTTGATATTTTAGTTAATAATGTATAATGACTGCCTCTTTGTGGCATTCACCGACTAAATACGCAACTAAAAAGAAAAAGCAGGGAAACATTTTTCCTAGGAATTATATATTACTATAAAAATATCAGTAGTAATATTATAAGTCCTCAAAAACATTGCGCATAGGGGAGAATATCAACAGATCAAAAGGGGTGCCAACTGACAATCAGTTACGAAATTTGATTTATCCAGTATGACATAGATGATTGAAAAATATTCACGAAAAATTTCAAAAGAAATTTCATAAATATGAAATATCCTTCTCACTGTTTTAAGTTAATTTACATCCGGTCAGAATTGAAAACGAAGATTTTCCTTTCAACGAGGTCATCACCATCCACACTAGACTAATATGTAGGTATTTAATTTAATAACATAGTAGCATTGACTGGAGGTTGTGGTGATGGTAATATATTTGATAATATAAAAATGATAATATATGAAAAACGTTATTATTATTTTTCCCTTAGGTTCCTAGTGGAACATACGACTTCAGTAGCACACCTCCATTCCACTTTCTTTTCTGCAGTGTTTTCAACCTAGCTTCACGACTACCCAAAACCTCTCATTTCTTCCTCATACGCCATCTCCTCCATGTCACACTCAGCTGGGACGCAGTACATATCCTTTCCTATCTGGGTTCCACTCGAGCGACTGGCCTGACGAGTGATGTCCCCAGTCGGCCTTCTCAGTGTATGCCCAATCCAGCTCCTCCTTCCTCTTGGACGATAGGTTCTTGGTTGGTTAGTTCGTTGCCAGCCAGCCAGAGTGAGTTCCTTATTCTCATTATTTTGGCCATCTGAGCTTCTGTATTGAGCAAGTGTAGGCAGTTGTTGATGAATATTTGTAGTTTGTTGGAAATGCTTTCCGTGACACACCAAGTCTCTCAACTATGACATAGAAGCAATGACGACTGAGATTAGTGTTGAAAATCCGGATGTTGTTCACGCTTTTTGCTGAGTGGAGTAGATCTCTATACTGGTTTCTAGTTAATGAAGGGCTGTCTTGTTCTCTTTCCTACCCTTATCCCATAAAGTTCATTAATCAATACTTTAAATCTAAAAACGAGAAATTGAGTCCTTAAAAGTATAGGCAATTGAATGCAACCATCGCACTAACCTATCCAGTTGCAAATGATCAGAGAAACTAATTAATATGTCAATCCGCTTAATGTTACCTCTAATTGTATCTATTTATTCACCTGTACTTGCAGTAACATGTATATCGAAAGAATATAGAATGTCCCACTTAACTTTTATCTCAACATCCACCGTAAAGCCTGTCATTGAGAGGTATGAGGCTACCTAACAGTGGTATTGATAAACCCATCTTCGATACACGTCACGCCGTAGACTTAAACATGCTTTCAAATCTAATCAATAGACAACTAAAAATAGTAGATTGTTACGTCATATAAAAGTAGTGGCGCCAATCCGTCGACTGAAATCAAACTTATATGTACAAAACATCTGTGTTTCACCTTACATTCCCTTTACGAGTTGTTCTTTTCCTACAGCCTAACTTACTATTTCATTGTTTCTTTTTATTATTCTCAAACATTATTCATATCCCTATCATTTCGATTTACTTCGATCCATTGTAACTTAATCCTGCTTGTTACCAGATCCTTTTCCATTCCTCTACCATCAACTCATACACTTTTCATAATGTCTTTGTTATTCTTTCCCCCTTTAATCAGAATTCCTACTGCCTTGAGCTGCAATCATAGGTCTGCACTACCATTACATCGTTCTGTTTTCTTTGTCTGCTGATCGATTTTATAGTCTGATTTGTTATGTTACTTTTTCTCTATATTGGTGGATTAGGTCATGAGTTTTGTCAACTATCTTTGTATTTATGGATATGCTAGGAATTCTCCTTTGTTTTATTGGACCGAATTGTTCGACCTCTATTGGTATATGGGCTCCTATGCGGATGCCTCGACATTACCTGAATGTTAATTTAATTGGTTGTGGCTAGTAGAATAATCCAGGACGTGCGTTTCGTCTTATTGTGGACTCTTCAGCTGGATGTATCTGACAGTCAGTGAGTGAAAACAACACTCATTGAGGGTACAGACACATCCAGCTGACGAGTCCCAAATAGGACGAAACATGTGTCCAGAGGTTTCAATAGTTGTTATGAAATGCGTTGAAACAGCAAGATTTCGTATCATACAAAAACAAAACACAGACAAAGGTACAGTGTCTGGTTAATGACATGGTAAAGAGAGAATTCGTACATTTTTGTTTTGAACATACAACTGGGATTTGAAAACACGAATCATCAAAGCTTCGACTATACATTGGCGTCTTATCGTTAACTTGGTGGACAACTTTCAAGGAGGTTACTAGACGAGCTAGATGTTCAGTGTCTACGAGGTATCCAGCGATGAAGCCGGAAGAGGCTTTGTGCCCAAGCTGGGTATTGTTGCTAAGCCCATTCTTCAAGCAAGCGCCGATGTAGTTGTAAATACATATTGACGAGGCCCAATGCGTCAACCTGTCTTCCATGCAGGGGCAAATCAGCTGTTGACATATAAACACAATATGAAGGTTCACAGCATGGAATGCTTTACTTAGGGACATTGACAGAAGCTGCCATAAAAATTCTCCTCTTTCTTATAAATTAGAATGACCAGCGATCTACACCAGTTTGACATAACTACCTCCCCACTCCCATATACTAGTTAGCACATCTGTCACTCTACTCGGCAATTTTCTACCTTCTCTGCTAGTTAGACGTCAAGTACTGCTGACCTGAGATTTGGAAGACTGACATCCACATCCCATTCCAGTTCGTCCTGGATGTTGATTAACTGAAGTGTGGTTATAGGTCAGGGAGACTGTTCTTCAAAGAATTCTGCCGTAAGCTCCAGCAACCCATGCTGACATGTTATTAGTGACCCATTCTATTCGGTGATGGTGTCATCAGCAGTTGCCTCCTTCATGTCATTCTTTTGTAAGCCTTAATAATTGGCAAGTACTGTCTAGCGTCGATACCTTGACCGTCTCTTTCACTTTTATCGCCCATCATGTATTACTTTCAATCACCTACCCAAATATACGAGGCTTTTAACTCATATCTTCTGGATACTAACAACACACAGAGATGAAACACAAGTCACGCAGTCATTACAAAGACCCTTTAACCAGTTTACAACTGACCTGTTTTCACTCCTCTTTGCCATCAAAGTGGGTCACAATGATTCTTCAGACATCAGTCACTGGACAACTGCCTCATCCCAGTATGGAATAAGGTGAATACTGATGACGATGATGATGAATACTATCTAAAACATAAAAAATCCCTATTAACCCGAAAATACATTACTCTGTTAATCGTTGTACTAATATGAAGTGTGGCAACTTGGACCGTTATGGAGTAATGTCTGGTCCTAAGGTGATACTAATGATGACGATGATGATGACGATGACGTATACATCGTATAGGAAAAATATAACAAACGTTAAAAAACTCGGTGTATTACGCATATATAACTGTACAATTTTCTTTCATATAATTGATGCAAAGTCATGAAAAATATGAGAGATTAATGAAGTAGCAGTAGAAGGTAGTCTACAAATGATCTAGATTGATGAGATGGAGCGTATGTAGATGGAGGATTGGCATTATTCTGTATCATAGGGGGAAAACATTCGCCGGAAATGTTTAGCCAGATCAGCTTCTTCATCTTCACCATCTGTACAGTCGTGCCAATCAGCTTTCTCTGGACAATTTAAAATACGCGGATCTGTTAGGACGATACTGTACATCGAAAGGACAGTGAGTAAAAGAGAGAAAGAAAAAAACAATGGAACAAATAAGACAGCGAATTACAGTATATAAAAAATAAATTCAACACAATGATCACAGAGAAGTTTAACAAAGTAACAATGGGCAGTTATATCGAGTTAATCTGTCTCTAAATTCTCTAGTTGATATTAGACTGTGATGAAAAAGATCTTTCTGAAGTTAGCGACACCTATCGATAGTTTTATGAACACTAGTAACTGATTTTGACACAATTCCATTGAATTCCTAACTGAAATCTATGATGCTGACAGTCAATCAACCAGATTATAAGATAAAATGCTCATTGATAATGTAACAGGATAACTGTGCTACACTATGGATTCGAAAAATGTAGATTACTAAGCTCTAAATAAGTTGTTCAATCGAAAACTGATCAACATGAGATATGAGAGTCTGAAGACAGAAATCATAAGAGGTTGTAGCTATTTACTTTTATGTAGTGTAACGATGGAAAACAGTCCAATAAATGTTGATTTTTAATGATTCCTAAGTTTATATAAACTCTAGAAAACTGTTTTAAACAAACCAAACGCTTTCGTATCTGACTGTAACAGGGCTACTGAGCAGATGTATAATGAGTATGGAGAGTTGGCAACTAATGGGGTTCGCCACAAACTTTTGTCAACTTCATTCAACAGCTATATGCTATATGATGCTACATGTCAAGTGATTCACAATGAAAAGCTCAGTGATGCCTTTAAAGTAAAGATCGATGAAAAGACTCTAAGAAGATTTGGATTTCGCCCATGATGATGATGATTTATATATAATGTCGCACAAACTGGAAGATCTACAGGCGAAAACTAACAAGTTGGCAGAAGAGGTGAGGCAACGAAGACAAGACTTCCTTCAGGTGAACGGAGAGAAGACACAGCTGATGAAGATACCCGACCAACAACAACAAGCACTAATCAACATGAACGGTATAAATCTAAAGGAAGTCGTCTCTTTCATCTACCTACCTAGGCAGCAGCATCTGAAATTCAGGCAGCTAAAGGCGGTACAGGTCAGGATATCAAATCCAGGATTGGAAAGACAGCAAGACAGGTCTTCATTAACCTGAAATCAGTGTAGAGAACTCGGGACTAGACAACATGAAATTGGTTGCACTCCCGTGACCAATCAATACTACTCCATTCCACTCAGCACAGAGCGTGAGCAAGATGCGGATTTTCAACACCGAGTCAGTCAAGTCAGTGCATCTATGTGATGGTTAAGAGACTTGGCGCGTCACGAAAAGCATTTCCAACAAAATGCAGACACACATAAATCAATAGCTGCCGCCTACGATATCTCGCTCACTTGATACTGAGGATCAGATCAGAAGGCCAGAAAGAATAAGTAACAAGAAACTCTGGCTGGCTGACAATGAACCAACCAACAACCTGACGTTCAGCAAATATGCAGAAGAAAGTGGAGATGGATTGGATTGGATAAACAGTGAGAAGACCGTTTTGAGGATATCAGGCGCCAAACCAGGCCGCTGAGTGGAAGCTAAATAGGAGAGAAAGAGTTGAACGCTGGCGAGTGACATGGAGATCGTGTGAAGGAGAAATGAAAGCTTCTTGGCAGTCGTCGAGCCAGGTTAGAAAGACTGCAGAGAAGAGAGTGAAATGGAGACGTGCTACTGAAGCCCTATGTTCCACTAGAAACCCAAGGGACAAATAAAAAAAGCAAGAAAATAAGTAGTGTCTACCAAGAAAACCCACTGTCACTTCCTACTTAACTTCATCATACACGTACTAGTGAACATAAATAACCTTAGGTATGCCTGATTTAGCAGGGATTGACCTACTTCTTGGAGGTCATCCGTTTGGCTTGGAGTATACAGACGATATTGACCTGCTAGGTGAAGAATTTAACCCAACGCAGAGTTTTGTAAACGGATTGAGCAGAAATCTGTGTATGTTTGACATGCATTTCGCTGGCACCTGTCAAATGATCCAGGACTAGTCTGCTGCAGGTACTCCCAGTTTATTAATAGAAAGTGATGCAGCAGAATGTGTCAACCACTTCACATACCTCAAACGTTGCATCAGCTCGGACCGGCTGGTTGCTGGCGAAATCTAAGCTTGGATACAGAGGACCCATATACCATTTACCAACTTGCTCTATTCATGGCGCCAACTGGCGAGATACCCAACTGTCAATCGAAGGCGAGTATACTGGTGTGCAGTCCTTTCGTCCTGTTATATGGCCGTGAGGAATGACTACTAAATTAAAAGTAGAAGGTATGAATCGATTACACGGTTTTGATCAAAGGTGCCTTTGTAACATTACTCGCATGTGCCGGGACCACTATAGGAGCAATGTTCAGGTCAGACGAAGGGTACTAGATGAGTTAGGAAAGTCGATTGATGAAGCTATGAACTTTTACAGACTGAGGTGGCGTTGACATATGTTGTGCATGTCGATCCACCGCCAACCTCGACGTTTCATGATAGGGGGATCTGGATAAGGCTGAAAGTGGATGGTTCAGGGTGGCCATATCAATACGTGGCACCAGTTTACGAAGTCCGTGACTATTTGTTTTAGCCGTATAGGCAGAGATGTAGACTCAGACAATTACAGTGGCGCAGATGTATTCACTCCTTGACGTCTTCCGAAGTTTGGATATTCACGCTAACCTTCGTCTTCAGACTGTTTATTCTCCCACATAACTTTGTTTACTTTGATATCACTATTTTTTATCCACCTGTTCTGTGAGGTATAGCAACTTGAACTGATGCACATGTGTGCGAAATTTTACGTCGATCTTGTCTGTCTGTTTTCAGTCTCAATCTGATAGTAATGATGGATAGTGGCTAGCAGTGGAATTCAGGACGTACGTTTCGTTCTGTTTGGTACTCATCAACTGGATGCACCTACCTCTAAGTGAGTTATGTTGTTTCCAGTAAGACTCGAACCCAGGGCCAATCGCTTTAAACGCCAGAATATCACCCACTACGCCGCAAAGTCAAGACAGCTACTTCTTGTCCAACGAGTATAGTTGTTACGTTATTGCCTGTATTTGGTCGACCACTACTGACACATCGGCTCCTGTGGGGACACCTCGATACTGCCTTTAGTTTCAATTTGATAGTAGTAGTGGAAAGTGAGAACAATATCACTCAACGACAGGAAGGCATACCCATATGATGAATCCCGAATACAACGAAACGTGTGTCCTGGTTTCCACTGCTAACCATTATTCGTAATTACCATATGATGTTTTCATTAATCCCATAATATTTTATCAGTGACAATATAACAGACATATTGAATACACAAATACTTGATTCCATTGCCCCAATTCATGTACAAGAACTACAAACACACGCATGTTTAACTGTCATTCTATCTATGTACAAGGTTTCTAACATTCTTTTACTGTTCTTAACATTATATGTCATACGATTCCTTGAATCGAAATCAAGAAACAGTCAATAACCTTGAGTACATTTCATACAGTAGGCAATAAACCACACCTGTTGTATGTGAGGGCTAGTGATACTATCTGGTTCACCAAACCTCGATAGATGAAGGGGCGGTGTTCAAATCCATGATTCACTGGTTGAAAGTTATTCATCAGCTCCCATAGGATTTTTGCATTGTTTCAACAGATGCTACCTCAAAATTGACTAAGATTGATGTGGCAATTAAACTAATAGCAAAACACTGCTAAATAACTTGTGAACGCTATTAGACAGGTTTAAACTTGTGTGTGATACCATTGACTACCAAATATAACTCCATACAATAAGTCAATTTGGGAGTTTGTGGGGATTTATTGATTTCAAAGTCTGACATCAGTTGGAGAGTAATGGACAGCTGTTTTGTCATACTATATGACTCTCCCTTAGTAGTAAGCACCTATGACCCCACTGCGCCAGAGATCGAAGTCAAGATCTTTAGGTTCCGTGGCCAGGACATTATCAAGTAGTGGTGATAAACTGACGTACGAATAAGTATGAATGTATTCAGACTAACGTTAGACTAAACTATGCGTTCACCTACTTTTTTCACCCGTAGTCAAAAACCCGTTTCTGAATAAATTCAAAGTGTCTTCGTTCACTTATTAAAGTCTAAAATTTGACTGAGATATGTTCATGAGACATTCATAGTTTTAAAAACCTGAAATCTAGATCCCTGAGTAACAAGCTAAACTCGGAAAAAGAAATGGATGATGGTGAACTAACCTTCTTTGTTTGTGTTATTAGGCCAAAAGAAAATGGATATTTAGGAATAACCATTGTTAGGAAGGCGATGCATTCGAACAAATACTTAGATTTCAATTCATCACAACCAATTGGTGTAAAAGTTTCTGTTACAGCAGCCAGTCTTTTAAGGAGAGTACACACTCCAGTAACGGATGATAATAAAGAGTTGAGGAATTAAAACTATACGAACAAAACGCTCGATTGGCTTTCGCCAACTTACGCCACCTGTGGCGCCACCGTGATATCCAACTGTCTACTAAGAATCACGTGTACTGCACAGCAGTCCCTCTGTTCTACTCCACAGCTGTGAAACATGGCCATGGCCTAAAAACTTCACCAATGGCTACGTCACATTCCTTTGCGTTTACTAATTTACACATGAGTCTATGATCACACACACACACACACACACACACACACACACACACACACACACACACACACACACACACATGGAGGAGTATTCAAGTCATGTAGTTGATGAGGGTGGAAGAACATGTACCTAAATCTCTTCAAAAACAAATGGAGTGTGAAGTGGTGATAAACGCTGGTGGGAGACGACCCTATTCATCTATACCTAAACAAAATATCATAGAAATAGGTCACCAAATTAATATTCAAACAGCTTTCAAGGTTTTATAAAGAAACAGTCAGTCGTCGATATATTCTGAGATTTGTGGAAGCCATAGCCATGCATAAAGTAAAACCACCTTTAAGTGGGTAAAAAGACAATTTGTTCCTACATTGCACCTACCTACCTTGGTAAACTTTGTTTTCTTACCTTGGTTACTATCAACTATGTCACTCCTCTTGTTTGTTCTCATCTTTCTTAATTTCAATCGCCTATTATACTAATTGTTATATTTGTCCTCCCACTGGTCGGTTTAATATATATTGACTTGAGACAAGTGTGTGTGTGTATGTGTGACCAGATTGTTCGAAATGTGTATTGTTCAAATACACCACATGCTTTGCTGAGATAACCTTCTTCTTCTAATTACGCTTACGAAATTCATAAAAGGAACTAACTGTTTCAAATCTCAATTCACGCTGGATCAATGAAAAGACCTCAGAAGAAGATTTGGATTTCGCCCATGATCATGATGATTTATGCCTAATGTCTTATGTCACACAAACTCGAACATCTAAAGGCAAAAACCAACAAGTTTATAGAAGAGGCAGAGAAGGCGAAACTTCAAGTGAATGTAGAGAAGATACAAGTCATGAAGATACCCAACCAACAACAACAAGCACCAATCACCATCAACAGGAGAAGTATAAAGGAAGTTGTCTCTTTCACCTATCTACCTTCCTAGGCAGCACCGTCTCAACTACAGGCGGTGGCACAAATGGGGACGTTAAAGCCAGGATTGGAAAGACAGCAACACAGGCCTTCATTAACTTGAAATCAGTGTGGAGATCTACTCCAATCAGCATAAACAACAAGATTCGGATTTTCAACACCAACGTGAAGTCAGTGCTTCTAGATGGTTCAGAAACTTAATGCGTTACGAATAGCATTCCCAACAAACTTAACACATACACACATCAACAGCTCCCTACTCTCGATACTGAAGATCAGATCATAAGGCGAGAAACAATAAGCAACAAGCAACTCTGGCTGGCTGGCTGGCTGGCTGGCTGGCTGGCTGGCTGGCTGGCTGGCTGGCTGGCTGGCTGGCTGGCTGGCTGGCTGGCTGGCTGGCTGGCTGGCTGGCTGGCTGGCTGGCTGGCTGGCTGGCTGGCTGGCTGGCTGGCTGGCTGGCTGGCAACGAACCAACCAACAACCTATCGCCCAACAAATATATAGGAGAAAGTGGAGATGGATTGGATTGAACATACACTGAGAGGGCCTTTTTGGCAAATCACTTACCAAGCCAGGCCCTCGAGTGGAAGCCAAATGGGAAACGGAGAGTTGGGCGTCCGTAACGAGGGTAACATGAAGAAGACGGTGTGGGGAAGAAATGAAAATTTATGGGCAGTCGTGGAGCCAGGTTCAAAAGACTGCAGAGAAGAGAGTGCAATGGAGACGTGTTACCGAAGCTCTATGTTGGACTAGGAACCCGAGAAACAAATAATAATAGTATATATATATATATATATATATATATATATATATATATATATATATATATATATATATATATATATATATATATATATATATATATACAATACATATGGATATCATCTTTACTCTAAAATTCTGACAACGCAGAACTATTCACACAGAACACTTGTCAAGCTATCATATATAAGCTTGGGAGATATTGTAAATTTCGTTTTACTATAACCTTGATATACCTATCAGCAGCAGTAAATAGCAAAACATCAGAGTCGAGTCAAGTTTCTTCTGTTCCACATTCTCATTGGAAAATACAAATAGTAAAATAAATAAACTTTGACAATATCTTAATGTGATGCATTCCATAAAGTGTACTTTATTCACGTAATCCTGGTTCATTAGAATAAATATACCAATGCAATGAATAAATATTTTGTAATACTACGCAGTTTATTAACTATATGCTGTGAATATCCTAAGAATATCTTCAATACCGACTATAAGCCAGTCAAAACAAACCTCATCCTGTCTACTTATATTTACAGATTATCATATTGCTTGATCCTAATACCCGGCTGTATACATAAACAAATCAGCTATCGGTTAACAGCTAGCTGGTAATTTAACCTAATAACTCCATAACATGATATACTGTATTCAATCAGAAGACTAGTTTTCTAGTGGTTGTGGACAGACTTTGCAAATTATTGAGAAGAGGAAAGATATCGTGACAAAAGTTTATTCCTGATAGGTTTTAAGGCAATTAACCTTTTTCATTAATAAAATAGTATATCTTGAGGTTAGTGGGGATTTCATCACGAATTGACATCAGTTGGAGAACGATTGAAAATCTGGGAGCGCTTGACAGTAGCTGTTACGCTTTGGTGTGGAAATTCCTCACCAGTACCCTCACCCCCCCCCCCCCACAACCCAACTAGGGACCGAACTCAGGACATTCAGGTTACACGGCGAACGTGTCCACTATTCACAGCCACTGAGTGGAAGTTTAATCATTTAACAAAATAATTAAATTAATGTCGAAAATAATAGTAATAGTAGTAAGGAAATAGGGTAAGGAACGTACCGACCAAACTGTAAGTTTGCACTGGATATTCGATCTTTTGAAATACGTCCAAAAAGTTTCTCGCCAGTAGGAAGTTCAACAAAAAAGTAAGGAATTCCAACTCTGCAAATCTAATATCAACCAGTGAATAAAAAAACACATTACAACATATTGTAATAAACGAAGAGACAGAATAATTAGCACAGAAATTATCATGAAGGGAAATCTGATGAACTGGAAGAAATGAACAGAAACTATCATATCAAAATGCAATCACCAAACACTTCCACGTAGACAATGAGATGAGCCTGTTGCATAAAGGAGAATAATACCGTCTGGATGTCAGAATCCTAGGAGATGGAGAAGGCTTTGAACCTGAGGTTGGAATTTGAACACTTAAATCAATCAGCCATAATTCCATAAAGTGACTTAACACTGTAGAGCCGGAAAGCATCAGCTTACGACATTATAACACTAGGCATGATAGGAAACGAAAAAGAAAGTAAGATATAGGCTTGAACTTAAATATAAGTCATAAGGTGGAGAATAAGTCAGTAAGTGAGGAGAAACACAATAATCAATATTTCAGCCATGATAGATTCGACAGAAAGGAGTCTGGCAAAATCTTCAGTCGCCAATTCGCTTACTGGACAATGTGGTGTATTTGCGCAATACACATTTCGAACAATCTGGTCACATACACACACACACACACACACACATACATACACACACTTGTCTCAAGTCAATATATATTAAACTGACCAGTGGGAGAACAAATATAACAATTAGTATAATAGGCGATTAAATTAAGGAAGATGAGAACAAACAAGAAGAGTGACATAGTTGATAGTAGCCACGGTAAAAAACAAAGTTTACCAAGGTAGGTAGGTGCAGTGTAAAAACAAATTGTCTTTTTACCCACTCAAATGTGGTTTTACTTTATGCATGGCTATGGCTTCCACAAATCTCAGAATACATCCGTGACTGACTTTGAAAGCTGTTTGAACATTAATTCTGTGACTTGTTTCTATAACATTTTTAGCCATAATCATAATCATCTGCCATTCCTAGATAGACTTCTGACTTCACGAGAATATGTGGTTCAATAAGATGGTCAGTCAGTTTGCAGGAAGCCTACAGGACAATACCTGAATTTTCACAATTTTTGTCCAATCCAATACAAGCGAGGTCTAATAAAATATGCCTGTTCAATAGGATCTATCGTATCACTACATCAGATACGATGCATGAAAACATCAAATTATTGACCAAAACACTTATGGAAAATGAATATCCGATGAAGTTTGTAGAGGTTTGTAGAGGTCAAGTTGGACTGAAGGCAACTCTATACACGGTTCCTCAGAAAAGCGTCCATATCACTCTACCATACAGAGGGGAGTTGAGTAGTATCACTTTGAGAAGTAAGCTCAAATTCGCCATTAGGAAAACATATTACTCAGCTAGTCTTATCATTGTTGAAGAAACAAAATACATGCTTCATCATAAACCTAAAAACTTGACCAGTGGTTACGTCACATCCCAATTTACACATGAGTCTGTGACCACACACACACACACACACACACACACACACACATGGAGGAGTATTCAAGTCATGTAGTTGATGAGGGTGGAAGAACATGTACCTAAATCTCTTCAAAAACAAATGGAGTGTGAACATGGTGATAAACGCTGGTGGGAGACGACCCTATTCATCTATACCTAGACAAAATATCCATCGGCGATATTGCAGATCTCATCGCTACTCCTTATGTTTGTTCATATATTTTGTCTTGAAGTTTGAAAACTGTGGAAGTTAAACATAGTATTATCCGTAACACGATTTCTTCAATAGAAACTTTAATTCTATTCCCGAGTTCATGGTCAGTTGTGAGTTCATTTCTGACGGTCTCAAGTGCCATATTAATTGGTATATTTTTATAGAGGCTCGTCACATCAACAGGTTTTTCTCTTACACTAGTATGTTCATACCTTACAATTGGCATATTATTGAATCAACAAACCGGCATATAACTGATTCATTCACTTATTGATTTGTCCCATGGGTTTTTAGTCAAACATAGGGCTTCAGTAGCACGTCACCATTTCACGCTCTTCTCTGCAATCTTTTGGACCTGGCTCCACGACTCCCCAGAAGCTCTCAATTCTTCCTCACACGATCTCCATGTCACCTTCAGCTGCAACGCCCAACTCGTCGTTTCCCAGTTGGGTTCCACTCGAGTACCTGACCTGGCGCGTGATGTCTCGGAATAGTCTTCTCAGTGCATGTGCAATCCATCTCCACTACCTTCTGCATATTTGTTGAGTGATAGGTTCTTGGTTACTTCGCTGCCAGGCCAGAGTTCCTTGTTGCTTATTCTTCCTGGTCATCTAAGCTTCAGTAATGAACGTAGGCAGTTGCTGATGAATATCTGTGGTTCGTTAGAAACGCATATAACTGATAGTAAATTATTTGATAACAAAACAGTCGTGTAAACTGTTCTACTGTATGGCTGTGAAACATGGCCATTGAAGGTGAAAGACATGATAAGGTTTCAGGTGTTTGACCACCGTTGCCTGCCTTCGTAGTATACGCCGTATTTCGTGGTGTCACCACATGAGTAACGCAGAAGTCAGGCTCAAGAGTAAAGTTTTAGGGAGTAAAGGTAGGTGAGTTGACACAGTTGTGAACCTTCATGGACTGAGATGGCTGTCTGGGACATGTGTTACATGTGTCTAGTTGCCATCTGCCTGTTCACACAATGTTGACCGAATTAGGTTCAGACTGGAAAAAGGCTTGAGGCTCGAGGTGGTTAGACTAAAACATGACATCAATGTATGAAGTGTTTGACTGTTGGTTTGAGCCATGTGGGGCGATGCAGACTAGTCGGTTGGGGTCTGCGTGACAAGAGAAACCAATGGTTGGAGACTCTAGGTGATATGGCTCAGGACCGATATGAGTGGCGCGGATGTATACATACATTGTCCTCATCTTAACGACCCTACACCGAATCTCACCACTTTCTCATACTTCCTTTCTGTCTTTGGGTGGATGGGACAATGAGTGGGGAAGAGCCCCGAGATAAAGCAGAAACAACTATCCTTTATTCTTAAACTTCTCATAGTGTCGTAAGTAACTTCAAACTATAATCAAACTCTTATCAAATCAGTTTATTTTATTTTAAAAGATAGAATTTATGTATAGAATTGTAAAACTTACTTCATCCAATTCTGTTTTACGCGGAAATGGTTTCAATTCACATGGACTACCCTCAAAATTAACTGACAAATCAAGGAATACTTGTTTTACTTCAGCAGCTACAGAAAATGGTACAGGAACAACCTTAAAATATATATGATGATGACAAAGAAATGAAAATAGAGGGTATCATCAATAAAATTTTTGAGGCGATAAATTATTATTATTATTATTATGTTAAAGATGGATCGTGGCTAGCAGTGGAATCCAGAATGCGCATTTCCATCCTTAACATAATCAGATTGCTGGCAATATCGAGGCATCCGCGCAGAAGCCCATTTGCTAATAGAGACCGACCAATTCGGTCCAATCAACGACGGTATCATATGAAAATTCTTATATTATTATTGTTATTGTTATTATTATTATTAATTATTGATCTGAGATATTAGAAAATCTTTGCAGTTCAGGTTGAAAACTGCAGTCCAAGTAAAAAGGCGAACAGGTTTCCAATGTTTCTTCAGCTGACATCAGTTCATGATGAATACTAATCTGAAATTAATAATTAAATCCTACACAAACTTCCAAATTGAATGACTCTCTAATGCTCACTAGTGACTTGCTTTGAGAGGTGATTCCCTAATTCGAACCAAGTCGGATATGAGGACGGATACTCAACGATGATACTGGATTCAGTCGGTGCTACATCGTGAACTGACAGAAGTAGGATATATGGAGGATTAGATTTCGACCCAGTTGGTCAAAGGTAACATGCTGGGCACGGAACCGAAAGGTCCTGGGTTCGACCCCTAGTGGGGTCAAAGGTATGCACTGCTGAAGAGTCCCATACTTTGCATAATACAACCTGCAGTAAGTAATCGCGTAGTCGGAGACTAAAAAATACCAGTGCATCACAATATTTCTTCTTAGTTCTTACTGTACCGTGCAATTCACAGCACGTGTGACTATTGTCGACGATTCAGTCGAGAAGTGCGCTTTCTAATACCTAGGAACTCATGTAAACATATGCCTACAATCGAGAAATACAGTTTCTAACCTAAGAATTCAAGTAATATCTATTACTAACAAGATTGTGAGTAGCGAAATTTGTATATAAATCATATGAACAAACTCAGTCTTCTACCACTTACTTGAAGTTGGTAATGATGTGTCTTCAAATTCCTCTCAAATACCACCATTGCTTTACCCTGTGCAGTAAACATACGTTTTAATCGTGATTTATATTCTTCAATCTCTACACGAACATAATCAGGACAAGCGACCCAACTTTGATGATGACCAATGGTTAAAATTAACACATGATCAGGTACAATAGACCCACGGGGTAACGCTACATATGCTTGAGTACCAATACTAACAATTAAATGCTTTTTAACTTGTGGATTGCCTAAGCAAAACCAACAAGAGTCATGATTTCTGTTTTCTGTAAGAAAAAAATAATAAAATAAACAAAAGTAAAGACTTAATGAATGCTACAATGAAAAATGGTTTAAACCTAATAGTACAGCCAAATGAAATCTGTAAGTGGTTGTAAAAAGACAAACTATGACTTGATATAGAAGATAACACCAACAACGAATTGATTATAAATTTCAGATCCTGTTTATTACGACTATACAACTATACAAATTGCAATAAAGGTGTATTTACTACAGTCGCTACAATGGATTAGGATTATAGATGAGTAAACTATGCCCCTTTAACTTCTGTGAGAGTTTACTTCGATATCCGATAAAAGCTCACTATGACTAATGGAAGCTTTATTCAACTTTCATAGATACTGTTATTTGATACTTCCAATTTCCTGTTAATATATGCTGGACCGAATGGCTCGGCCTCTGTTGTTGGCAGATGTGTTCCAATGCGGATGTCTCGAGCAATTCGATACTGTAGAGCAACAGGGAATTACAAGTACCAAAAACAGGAACTGATACTAGGGTTGCATAAGAGGTGGCTCTTGTCCCTAATGAGACTAGTCGATAACGCTTTGATGTTTAAAGCTATGGATACTGGATTCTAGCCTCACTGGGGTACAACCACATCCGGTTGACGAGTCCCAAATACGACGAAGTGCACATCCTGGATTCCATTGATAGTCCTTAACCTAGATGAATACAATATTTATCATAATTACCTTTGTCTAGTTTGACATTAGACTTTTACCATCCGCTTGTTCTTTGCATACTGTTGTAAAGTATGGCAAATTGAACCGGTACACTTCTGTGCGAGGTTCTACGTTGATCCCATTTAAGTATAATTCTCTATACTCACTTTAAAGGTGTTGATTTACTACGCAGATAACCACTGATTGACTTCAGCTGACATATATGAATAGCACATTACAACTAAATCATAGAAAAGTCTACAATGGAAAAGTCGATTACTGTGAAAGTGCTAGGTGTAAGAATAATAGTATTTGATGTATACTTTGCTTCAACGTTCCCGCACCTACTTTCAGTCTAACTACGGAAAATAAGACAGCAAACTAAACTTATTACTTTAATTATCTAAGTTGCTACACTACCTATAGTGGACTAATCGATGGCAAATTGTTCGCATAAATACAGAAGGTTCATTTGACATTTATTAAATCACAGTGACCTAAAGAATTAAACTTTATAATCAAGAGTCGAGTATATCACTCATATGAAGCATTCCCAATCGAAGTAAACATCACCAAAAGACCACAGTCCTTTGAGTATATCAACTTTCTGGCCCCACCAACGTGTAAAGTCATTCAATGGTAGATAGGCAGAAAGACAGACAAAAACACAGAACTTCGCACACAAATGCATCGGTTGAAATTGCCACACTTTAAAGTACTACACAAAGAAGACTGGACAGAAAAAGAGTGATGCCAGAGTAGACAAAGTTGTGTGGGAGAATAAACAATTTGAAGATGAAGGTTAGTGCAAAGTGTCAAGGAGTGGATACATCTGCACCACTGCAACCGATCTTCAGCCATGTTACTAAGAATCTTCAACTACTCGTTCGCATCGTCTAAGAGACCAGAGTCAAGTAGTCTACATCTCCCTACACGGCTAAAACAAACAATCATGAACTTCGTGAACTAGTGCCACGTATTGATATGGCCACCCTGAACCATCCACTTTCAGCCTTATACAAATCCCCCTATCATAACATGTCAAGGTTGGCGGTGGATCGACATGCACAACATATGTCAACGCCACCTCAGTCTGTGAAAGTTCATAGCCTCATCAATCGACTTTCCTAACTCATCTAGTACCCTTCGTCTGACCTGAACATTACTCATATGGTGGTCCCGGCACATGCGAGTAATGTTACAAAGGCACCTTTGATCAAAACCGTGTGGTCGATTCATACCTTCTACTTTTAATTTAGTAGTCATTCCTCACGGCCGTATAACAGGACGAAAGGACTGCACACCAGTATACTCGCCTTCGATTGACAGTTGGGTATCTCACCAGTTGGCGCCATGAATAGAGCAAGTTGGTAAATGGTATATGGGTCCTCTGTATTCAAGCTTAGATTTCGCCAGCAACCAGCCGATCCGAGCCGATGCAACGTCTGAGGTATGTGAAGTGGTTGACACATTCTGCTGCTTCACTTTCGATCAATAAACTGGGAGTACCTGCAGCAGACCAGTCCTGGAGCATTACCTTACATCTGACTCACTCAATGATCAATGTCAGGACTGTACAAGAAGTTGATAGAGCCTATGACAGCATATGACGCAGGCAAAACATGTGTTTAGATTAAAACATACCTTAAACTGAAGTGACATGCCACTGTGCCCCACTAAGCGTACCGTACTGTTTAATTCCTTACTTACAACTAACATTCCAGTCCACAGCGTACGACAACACAATGGTAGCATTAGTGAAGAAACGTCGGATAATATAAGCTTTATCAGACAACTACTCACTTATCTCACGAACATGTGTCCATAAATCAAACCGCATAAATGATAACTAATCTTAAGGAAGACCATACGATATTTTGAAGCCTATGTCAAGTCGTAGACTGTCTGAGATTCCAGACATATGTTCGCTGACTTCTGCTGCCTAATTTTTAAATCTGATTTTCAAAACACTGAAAAGATCCTGTTAATTGAGTCAGTTTTGCATAGCGAAAAACAATTCATTGATTAGAGGAATTGGTTGCTGCGTAAAAATATTTTTTAAAAAAAACAGATAATCCCTTTCTGGTTAATTTCGTGGAGATCGTTAGATTTGCTACACTTTGAAATGTGGTTCAGTGACTTTAGCACTTACAATTACAAACATTGTAGCATCTAGCGGAACTTCAGTATTTAAGCTTTAAGCCAGTTGTACAAACTAGCAACCAGTTGGTGTGTTGCTTCAAGGTTAAATAACACACTTTATTTTGGGTCCCAATTTTGGGCTCCCCTCCATTTGATTCAGGTTTAGATGGTCACATAGTAGTATAACTAGCCTTTTGATGGTGTTTTGTTCTCTGAAATGGATACCTTACTCGTGAAGCTTTCAACTGTCATTTAAGAGAACATCATCAGCATAAACTTCAGAAAGACGTGAGCTGTAGGGCTTTCTCCAAAAGTGGCTTAGAAGCTTGTCCTGGTTTTTTCTGTCAAAGTCTTGTCATTGTCTCCATATTTATTTTGATTGGCTTTCCTGCTGACCTGAAATTCGACCTTCTTGTTGTTTCTTATTGGTTGATAGATTGGGTCTATAGCGATGTCTGTTGATTGCTGACTGACCTAAATCTAAAGCCCCTAAAACTTCTTTGGCATTCTTTGTATTTCCTCTATCCAGGATTTCCACATCTGTCTAGTCGAATCCATGTCCACAGTTGCCCGTTTGCATTCATATGAGCAAAGATGTGTCATGATGCTTCACTGCTAGTCGATCTTCATGTAGATAGATGAGAAAAGGGCGAACACAGTCCGATATTGTGCTTTTCGCAGTTTATTTTGTAGATAATGCTTGGCTTGTCTTCTTTGGGTGTTGCATCTTTTGACTTGTATTACAGAGAATGAAAAAATTTTGCAGGCTTGTGAGGTATTGACATTAACTCTGTCGATCAACCAGTAAGAACCAACAAGGTCAAAGTTCACGTCAGCAGGACAACCAATCGAAATATATATGCAGACGATGGTAAGACTTTGGCAGAAGCAATCAATCACACACAAGGCCGGCCATCAAGGCAAGCTATTCAGCCCTATATCTCGATTCTTTCTGAAGTCCGTGCTGATGATGTTGCCTAGAATGACAATGAAAGCTTCATGATTAAACCATCCAGCTTAGAGAACTTAACCCCGTCTCCATAATCTCATAACTAACCTTTAAATGACAAATGTTTTATATACTAGTTGTAATGTAAATCTTTACTGCACAAAGGTGACCCAACACCATAAAAATTCAATAAATCATACTTAACAAACTGGGAGGCAAAACAATGAATCGATATAACAAGCTCAAAAATTTTCACAGTTACATAAAAACTGAAAAAGAATAAGAAATAAAATTCTCCAATTAATATAGAAACTGAATACTGAAAGAAATGACAACTGTTACAAAGTATCATATCAAAATTAGTTGTTATGGTAGGAATGTATAGTTAGCTTACTGTCAATTTTTTCTTGGAAGCCTTTTTGACTAGAATCTTCCTCTTCTTTATCAATGAACTGTTGTTTCATGCAATTAGAGTCCTCTGATAAAGCATCATTTTTTTTACGCTTTTGTGAAATGCCTTTCTTCTGGAAACCATTTGATTCTATGTGAACATTGAGATTATAAAAGTATTGGTCTGTCTGAACCTCCTAATAAGTAGTAAAAACAAGGAATTATTTTTTTTTTCTTCTTTTAAATAATGAATAATTTGCATTTTAAGGAAAGGAAGAAAGGAAGAAAAATACAAGTTTAAAAAGGAATTAAAAAAGTGAAAATTTTTTAACGGAAAAATGCCCTGATTGCTAAGGTGGTAAGAGATTCATAATCATTTAACTTGTAACCACACAAGTTGGATATCATTCAACAGATGGCTGTGATTTCAGCAAATTGAAGTATATATGATGTCTCATGTTTCGTGATAATTATGAATATCTTCGATACTTTGATGTTAATTCCATTTCATTATGCGGTGGTTTATTGTCCTATTCAAAAAATAACACTTTATACTTCAGTTCTTTTGTATATGATAGAGAATTCAAGTAGACAGTTGTCTTTCTCTTCTCCCATTGTATTTGCTTTCAAACGTACATATAACTTGGTGGAAATAAGTTATGGTTGTTGAAAAGTCAACATTTTGTCTATTTTTGATTGAGTGAACTAGTACACTATTCAATATAATTATCTTAGCTTTGAAATCACTTAAGTTGTTGATACCACAGTTTAATTTAAGTTTATACCCTCTCCTGTCATCACCTTTTGAATAGTCGTAATAAAATCAACCTCTCTTTGTTGTTATGCTCCTCCTCCCCCTCCTATTGTTCGTGAAGTATCTTCGAACAAATTTCTGAAAGTATACATTGCCAAGTAGGCTGTTATATTAAATTTATTTCACCCTGAAGAGCCTATCTAGAGTATATGTTGTTTACTTTTTGGCATATGATTTTCACTAAACCGAAATTGTAGCTGTTTGAGTGAAAAATGTTGAAATCTGGATAATGACCATTCTAAGTCGTTTTACGACAGATATTACTCTCAATTCATACATAGGTCAAAAAAGATTATTTGGTCGTGTTCACTGCACCACATTCACTCAAATGGCTGGAACATGTGTTACGCACGCCTAGTCACCATCTACCTCCAAACGCAATGTTGGCTGAAGTACGTTCAGACCAGAAAAAGGTTAGAGGAGGCCAGAATAAAGCACTGCAGCAATTCATGAAGTCTTGGATTGTTGACCTGAGTCGTGGTGGCGGTGGCGGTCTGCATGACAGTCGAAATCCGTGACTGGAGACTCCAGGTGATATGGATTGGTATCTATCTCAGCAGTGCAGGTGTATCCTCTATACGCCATCTTCATTTTAATCGTCTTATCGATCTTAATTTTCACACCATTCATCTTTGTATTTTCTACTTTGATTCCAGGTATAACAACTTGGACTGTTACGTAATAATGACTGGTCCCATTTTGACATTAACTAACTGGTTGATCATGAACTTCCGATAAGTTTTTTTAACAACTGAAGTCTGTGTTTATGCTTGATGAAAACTATCGTAAATGATAAAGATATTGTCAATACACCTCACACAGAAAGTATGCGTATCATTGACAGGTTTCAGTGCAGATCCTCTCAGGTGCGTCACATATACGATAGGTAATACCGATCACATAGAACTTCCAACAGCCCCTCATCTGAACTGCCTATACAGAGTGCCACTGAATTAGAATTTCATGTTTTTGGTGCATAGGAGCAGAAGAAGCACAAGTTCAGTCTTCAGCAGTTGAAAATGTGTTTAAACCAATGTCGATGACTTTTTTAGCAGATATACTAATAAAATTAGATGTCAGATGGTATAATGCAATGAATTTCCTCAATGGATTCAAATGCTCCCCTTTCTCGATGGATTCAAATATCCTTTGTCAAGTATATTGAAGTTTTTCCTGAATTCTTTGTGATTTCTGCAACAACCAACGTGTCAACTTGTGATGTGGAGAAGTGATCATTGATGAATAAACCTCAAGGGCATATCGACCTAATATATCCTTTTTTGATCATAAATGAAGGGTAAGCTGGATTTTACGGATCTAATCTTGTCATAAGTCCGATCATAAATCAGTTTTCCCTGCGTTTTCTTAGTCTTCTTGAGGTTTGTTTCTTGGCAGTTTTTGTCAATTACGATTATCCATCTTGAATAGTAACGAGTTTCCAAAGAACAAATCCACTTTACTGACATATTTTACTTTATTAATCAACACTATAACGGATTTTTTACAAATAAAATAATCAAAATTCCTGCGTCATTTTTAAATGACTTCTGTGCAGTTTGATGTTCCTTACGAGACGTTTTGATTGAGATAGCTTAGCTAATCAGCATCCACTTATCATTTGTGTACATATTACTTCTGAATCTAACTGCATCATCAACATAGGACCAGGCATTACTGAGTAACGGTCCGAGTTGTCACACCTCATTATATCACCACATCAAGTAAAAAGGCAGTGAGGTGAAAGATGAAGATAAGAAAATTCACTCAAAAGAAATATTAAGTACGAAAAGAGAGAAAGGAAGAGTGAGAAAGTGGTGAGATTCGGTGTAGGGTCGTTAAGATGAGGATAATGTATGCATACATCCACGCCACTCACATCGCTCCTGAGCCATATCACCTAGAGTCGCCAACCACTAGTTCCTCTTGTCACGCAGACTCCAACCGACTAGTCTGCATCGACCCACATGGCTCAAACCAACAGTCAAACACTTCATACATTGATGTCATATTTTAGTCTGACCACCTCGAGCCTCAAGCCTTTTTCCAGTCTGGACCTACTTCGGTCAACATTGTGTGAACAGGCAGATGGCAACTAGACACATGTAACACATGTCCCAGACAGCCATCTCAGTCCATGAAGGTTCACAACTGTGTCAACTCACCTACCTTTACTCCCTAAGACTCTACACTTGAGCCTGACTTCTGCGTTACTCATGTGGTGACACCACGAAATACGGCGTATACTACGAAGGCAGGCAACGGTGGTCAAACACCTGAAACCTTATCATGTCTTTCACCTTCAATGGCCATGTTTCATATCCATACAGCAGAACAAACCGGACTGCTGTGCAGTACACGTGACCCTCAGTAGACAGTCGGATATCACGCTGGCGCTATAGGTGGTGTAAATTGGCGAAAGCCAGCCGAGCCTTTTGTATCCGTGCAGAGATTTCATCGGGCACTGAGCCACCAAACTGCAAAGACATCTCTTAGCATATTTAGGTTTTTCGGCTCATTTTAAAACAACTCCTGCCCCTTTAACGTCTCGGCTAGTATCAAGTGTTTTCATATTCATGTGTTGATGATCTATTTATCTAGGTTATATGAAGTTGATGAAAACCTCATGAAAAAATGACTCCATCCCGTTTTTTAACTATCGGTCTCACTGAATTATTTAAGTTCATCACGAAAAATAAGTGTAAGGAACACCTCTTTGTTCCATTATGTGAATGACTCGGCGCCAACGCCTAACACTGTTGAAACAAGAAAAGTCTGAGTGCCTAAAAATTTTTCCGAAGTTCAAAATATATACTATTGATAGGCACTAACAAACATGATAGCCAAGTTCAAAGGACCTCACTGACTACCTCAGTCCACAATACATGAACCTGTCTGTAAAGAAAGATACCTCAAAAATGTTCAATTTTTCAAATGTTACACACTGCTGCATTAAAGTTCGACTTACTATTTCTTTATCTGCTGAAGGTTCGCCATCAATAATCCCAAGATATGGATTCTCCGTAACATCCGGAGGTTGATTGATCAAGTCTTGATGCTCCATTTTATCAATAGGAATCAACTTCAAGGCATATAAATACTAAACAGATAAATTGAATTTACATAATACCTTCCGGTTTAAAGGATTTTTTACATCAGCCAAAGCTATAAAACGTGTAGTATGGCATGCTTTCTCTTGTAATACACGGTGATTTCTAAAAGCAAATTCATTTGGCATAAAGTTAACATAGAACAATCCATGACTTATGTTACAAAACTTTGAAAAGTAGAAGCGAAAACATAATATCATTAGGTTAATGAAACTTCGATTGGAAAAAACATTCAGAAACGATCCTCAAAACTAAGAAGAGTTAATCATAATATATCCCCTGGTGTTATCAACTTACACATAAATCTTCACTTATTTACGGGATCTTTGAAAATTTTACAAAATGGTTGGAACTCACTAACTGTAAAATATCCCTCCTAGTGAAGCATCCACAGTAAAGTGTTCTGATTAAAAGCTCTCGAATGACTCGAGCCCAACACTAGTCGATACAGAGACTCGTCACTAAGTGTAGTTTTACTTCACATACTCCTTTTCAACTCCTTTTGGGAAATTCAAATTAGAGCAAACGTTTCTTGTTCTTAAACCCCTCTCATCGAACCCAGACACTTTAGAACTTTTTTGTTGCACAACTAAAACACTAAAATATAAAGCCAAGTGGCTTCCAATACTTAAACACTGGTGTCTTCGCAGCAACACTCATGTTCGGCAGGTTGTTAGTGTTACAGTAACTGGAATCGAAATGGAAACTTGTGTAGTAGGTGATGAACCACACATATTGGGTAAAGGGTTGGTGACACTACCTGACTGCCAAAACCACGATGATTGGAGCGGCATTCCACCACGTGACCCACTGGCTTCAATATGACTGATTAAACCTATCAGCTGCATCTCACGACATGAACAATGTGGTGGTTAAGTTTTTAAAGCATTTCAAGTCAAACAGCTCTGATGAACGCTAAGTATATATAAACACCAACTAGGTGTGGAATGTATGCTACGATAAAATCACGGAAAATAAAACTTCAGGAACTTCAACTAAAAAAACATAAATAAACCAACAAAAAGCCCGACACGGAGATTTATCGGCCCAGTTTGCCACACTTTGCAGCAGTATACAAAGATGAAATAGATAGGAAACGAAAGACATTAGACAAAAGTGAATGGGAGGAAATAATATAAACACATGAAGTTCATAGAAACTGTTCAACATTTTGATGACAAAAAAACATATCTGCACCATTGTAATTGATTTTGAACAAAATTGGAGCTCAATGTCTAAAACAAACTGTGACCATTCACTGCTTATTAAAATTGGAAGAATTGAGCCATATAATTGCACTTCACCTGGTCCTTTTTGGCATGATAAGCATAGTACCGAATGAACCCGTAGAATTACTCCACAATTATGAAAGTTGAATAAATAACCATCCACGTTATGATTCTTGAGGTGTTTGATAATTATCACAGTATTTGAAGTACGGTTGGACCTAACGAGTATGTATATATAAATGTAAATATATTGCTACATGTATTTTCCAGTAAATATAGACCCAACACCGAACGTAGAAAACTGATAGTTTTTGATCTCTTGCGTCGTTATGATTGCGTTTTAGGATGTGTAACTTAGCACTAAAGCCTACACCAGTGGGAATTTGTTTACACTTTTTTAAATAGTAAATCCAAGTACATGAAGAATACGTTGGAAAATAGTGTGAGACGATAACATAAGAGATAATTCTATTCGATTCATTCAGAACTATCACTACCAAAATTGTGCATGAGCCTACTGACAACGGACGTTTTAGAAATTCAAAGCTTTCCAGAAAGACCGCACAGTCATCGTCAGCCCTATTAGCCACTTTAAGGTATTAGTAGCTCAAAGACGTCAAAATTCTGTAGTTCCGCTGTTCGAACCTAACTTTATTCATTTCGGTCTTAAAGCCCACATATTATCATAAACGTTAGTGGCCCACGGTCTAGTACGTAACTACCAAAGTACGACATGTTCAGAGTGCACAGAGAGTAAAACGCAATGCTCCCTGGGGGAATGCGAATATACAGACTGTTGAGGAATGATTCCCCGAGATAAAGTGCACAAAATTATGAGCAGCGTAGATCCAAAACATAATAAATTACCTGTATGGTGATCTCTCGTAATATGTACCATTCCCACATGAAAAGTGGTATCGCGGTCGAGTGAGATATGCCAATCGCGAAATCAACGTAGAAGCAGAATCAATGCACGGTTGACAATCATCAGGAAATTTACCAACAATGGACTTATTAATGTGCTTTGGCCATTGACAGGTGAGCAGGAGGTCAACACCAAGAAACCCATAGTCTTCTGCCGCAAGGGCTTCGCTTAGCAGACTGGGTGGTAGGTTGGAACTATCGGGATCAACTTCTCGCTCAGCCATGTAAACCACACGCAGACCACTCATAGTAGTGTACGTACCTCTGGGTCCTAGAATTGATTGGCAAAAAGATAATTTCCTTACCCAAATAAGTGAGGTTAGTGCAAAGCTCACATCCAGATTCTTGTTTACAAAACTTCTGAACAGTTTCTGAGAGTGGAGACACGATGTAAGTTGGGAGGGTACTGAGGGTAAACACAACCAAAGAATTACCTAATATAGTCCCATCAATTATCTCTTTTACTTCCTCAAAAGTGACCCCAAAAAAGTCTCCTAAGCAAAACATCATCTGAATTTATTATTATTATTATCTGTAGACAACTCACATCAAATTGTCCGGCTGCACTCATCACCTTCGAAACTCTTGAGAATAATGCCCTGACTCTACCCTTGACATCCCCACAGATAAGACTATCAAGTTAGTGACAATTTAGGACAAACTTACATCTTATGGGCCGGTTCATCTGGCATCACCTTGAAGTTTGTTAGTCCCGCGTATGTCCAACATGACAATAATAACATATTGACTTTTTCCTGAACCGTAATTATGTTTACAGCGAAGAATTCTCAGCATGTGATATTGCATCTATTTGTGAATTGTACAACATTCTTTCATGTCTACATATTAACAATAGTGATGTTCAACAACTTGACTGCTCAGATATTTGATGACTTCGGGGATATGAAAACTGTCCACAATTGCAAAGTTAATTGGTGCTGCTATGTCCAGCATGACTTTCTTTATGTACTACATAGCCCAAGCAAGATGCTGCGGCTGAGTGTTTGCATGTGATTGTGCCTGCATGGAGTTTAATATATTTGCTTCTTGTCTTCCCTCAGAACAGACATAGAGAGGTCTGGATGCAGATAGTGCTTTTCACAGGAACTCAGATACACGTCAACAGCAGCATTTACCATTACGGCCAGTAGTGTGCTACTCGCTCTACTAACAACCTTCAAAATCCCACGTAGTGTGGTTAGTACTTTTTCAGCAGGGCACAAAAATAATTAGGCATGGGAAAAGCACCAAAATTAATGAGAATTAAGGGTAGGGGCTGACTTTTGCTAGACAGTCTGTGTTTCCTTATATAAAAGGCTGCGCGAAGAAGTTTCGGGAAGTCAAAAAATATGGGTGGACCAAGAAAGATCGGAAGAAAAGTATAAGCCCGGACGAACTAAGCTTGATATGTTCTTAGCGATGGAGCCATCCAAGAGACAACAGTCAAGGACGGCAGCAATTGACAAAGGCCAAGTCTCAAGCTAAACTCAACCATCTGATACTTAAGGGGATTGAGTGTGACAACGTTCAAGAAGGACTAGTGAGCAACTTAGGTTAAGAAGTTATTTCCGGTAGAGGACTCATTGAAAGGTTCTGTGAGTGACCAACACAGGATATCACTACATTTGCCAAATAGGGTACCTGGCATGCCATCTGGTGCAAGGTATTGCGAAGGTTTGAATGCTTTTGGCACCTGAACACATTTGTCTTACTGAACTTAGCGAAAACTGCTTCTTGTTATGTGTGAGGAGCTAGGCGAATTACATTAGCAGGCTCAGGTATGAATGGCTCACTTAGTACACAGACATTTGTGTAGGTGCTACTTTGAGTTTTCTCTTGCCAGTAAGATCAATAAATGATCTCCGTATGCTAGAAGGAACATTATGTGACATAACCTTCTGTTTATATGTTGAATTTAGGTGCTTTATTTGAGACCAAATCTAGCAGTTGAGTAGTTTAACGCTGAAACTATCCCCCAATTTGCGAAGCTTCTCTTATTCTTTCCGTGGTCGTTTTAATTTTGGCGAAGAAAGTCTATCAGACGCTTAAAAAGTTGTTTCAGCTGGGCAGTATGTATCAATGCAGAATTTCAAATTGCATGTAACGATATCGACTATGCCATCCAAAGCACCGTATTCGAACATTTCCCATCCACTGATTTGTGACATGCATTTGAGTTTCCAAATATTTTCGTATATAAGGCCTCCACGTGCAGTCTTCCTAGATCGGTAGTTAAAGGCATTTCCCTAATGTTTGCCTTTTATTCGTGGGAGAGCACGTGAAATACGGTGATTTAATTCAAGCAGTGGTGTGCGGCTCCAAGTTTTATACACAGGTTTACTGACGAAGAAAACGTCCATTATTGCACCAAAACGAGTTGGAAAACTGACCACATTGCCGTGACCGAGTGAAGATAGGAGGCTGCAGTCGCAGTGGTATAGTCTGTATCGTGATCAGAATAGGCGAAACACGCAAAATTTGACAAACAACAGCGGGTGTCAGTAAAAATAGCTAAACCTCCACCACGCCTTTTCGCAGATCTATACTCACTCCGGTTAAGCGTTTTGAAACTATTTGAAGAGACTATGTTATCATCATAAGCTCCGCAGCCAAGTCCTTTATAAAGTTGTTACACCAATACTACGATAAATATGAGAACAGAATAGGAATTTAAGTAGTCTACCTTAATCAGCATGGACCTGCAGGTGAACCTGAGTATTTTTTGTGGCGTCATTTGGTGCGGTTTTGCTTGCCTTGAAGCGCGCCACCGTTCACCATGATTTCATTTCTTGACCATACCCGTCAAATTCATCCGGTGGTTGATAACTTCCAAAAGGTTCGTCTCAGTACTTGACACGACTTCAGGTCATATTTAGACAACAGAGGTGGAGTAGACTTGACGCAACATATGGGCTGAAAACATTTGGCACCTGAGAGCCCTAGGCCAGTCCCCAAAGAAAGTTCCAGTAAGATCCAACACCAATAGTGTGACCAGAGAAAACCGGCAGGCTTTGGGTTTTCGTTTCTAGGCCTTGGGGTGACGTTCCTTTTGTTTGGTTATGCTGCTTCAGTTATGGCTGAAATCGTTGCAGCCTACCTGCTTATAGCTTCGTAGGCAGTGACTGTCTACTTAAAGGTTCTCCTTTTCAAATCTTAAGCTGGGTTTGTTTGGGGCAGTAACAAAGCCACAGATAAAATCAATTAACCTTTTGGAATTCTCGTCTTTGTAAGCGCCTGCAAGCAAGCATGAAGTGTTGTGCGAATACCAGTGAGAGAAATAGGGCGAGTGAGAAGAGAGAAAGGGATGAAAGTACCTACGGAAAAATAGGTACTACCCGCGATTTCGCAAAACTAGCCGCATTAAACCATCCTCACCATTATAATCAGCTTAAGGTAGCTCTCATTAAATATGTTACGATATAATACGCTTCCTGATAATCTCACTTAATTGAATAAGTCGGGCAACAAGCATACTGAGTCCACAAACAACTCCTAAGCTTCAACTACACACTTAGTATATGCACAATGAGCCTGTCGTGGAATAACACCTGTAAGGTTAAACAGAATCCCTCAAAAATTCTCAGTCTATTCTAACGGCATTTGCTCCTTTATACCCGCCAAAGTAAACATAAATAAGGGTCATAAACCCTACGAAAGCATGAGGGCCGTGTTCTTGAGCGTCTGAAAAACAAGGCATATGCAACTTATTTCAGAGCAAATAGGGTTAAGTGAGAAAAAAGCATGCACGTAGGGAGCAAACTAGTAATTGGGATTCTTGCTTCTTTTCTCTTCCTGCCTCCTTGTCTCTATTTATTTTTGTAGCAAGACGATTCAGTTCTAAATGTTGCCTTGGACGTAATTGAAAATTTCTGAGGGGAAAACTCCCGGGGAAGCTACAAGCTCTCGGTCTGTGCCACTGCGTTCATAACGGCCAAAAATGATTCATATTCTCACAGCTACAACTTCCTGGTTATGAAACTGATCGGGAAAATCCCACACTTACCAAGCACAGCATGTCACGACCAGCGAAAGTGGCGGACAAGATGTCCTGGAAGTTCACTTGATATGTCCAAACAAATCCATTACGACTAGTTGCTGGAGTAGAAAAACGCAGGTGATGAGAATTGGTGCCAGGATACGTGAAATGCTTAGTTCTGCAGTCAGTAAACAATGACACATAGCAAACAATATGCAAATATTCATTCATCAAATTTTCCTCACTATTCTTATACAAAATGAACGAGATGTACTAATGTAGGTATTGGCCCCAAGCTGTTTTTTTCCCTAGACAATACACGTGATGGTCATGTCAAAGTCCTGGACTTTCGTTGGTGCGAAAACAATACCTCCACTTGTCTAGTCAATTTGTGAATACCTATCCTACTCCTGATCTTAATCTTAATGACGTGCAACATATGTGTCTTCTAGTGAATGAACAGGTGTGGATCGAAGCTACGCACCTCTAAACAGGGTATGTGACTATTATTTTTGAATGAAGACACTTAGGGATTTGGCCAGTGTTACTTTTTTGAAAATGAACTTGTTGAACTACCTCCCCTTCTTACGTGCATGATACGTTTACACATTTACTAAACACAAGTCTCATTTCTACCAGAAAACTTCATCATCCCTATGACTGAATGCAAAAATTCAACATGTGGCTTAACGTGCACTATTTGTACGTGGCACGAAATCTTTCTCCTTTAATCCTGGGGGTTGCCACTACTTGCGATGGGGAAGAGATGATAAGCAACGTGATCGAAGTTTTTCGTCACCAAATCCAATGACCATGTCTGCGTAAATTTTAAGCACCTGTAAATTTGGGAATAAATATTATTATCTCATATAGATCTGGTGTCACAGGGGTACTTTTCTCAAGAAAAACGGAAAGGACACTCTTGATTCTGCTGAGGCTGTTCACTTCTTCAGTGGGAACTGGAACGTATCCTACTGAATAGAGAACACGCTTTGTAATTCCAAACCACAAATCTGGTGACAAGGCTAGTGTCAGTGACTACGGATCCATCAATATGACCCCGATCCCATCACAGCTCACGGGAAAAGTTGTAAAAACAGTATGTCTGAATACTTACTTGCAGAGGATTCTATAACAGAGTCTCGACGGGCCTCTCTGAAAAACAGATCATGCATTACGTGCCATCTTGACTTCTTCGACCTCATTACCAATAGCCGTTGAGCACTCAAAATAGTAACTGTTCTGTACATCGATATACCGAGGGCGTTTCAC